AGATAGATAGATAGATAGATAGATAGATGATAGATAGATAGATAGATAGATAGATAGATAGATAGATAGATAGATAGATAGATGATAAATAAATGTAACTTTAAAATTTGTTTTTCAAGAGGTTAAGGTAAGTCATGAGCTATAGCAAGAAGTGAATCTATTCTAGAAAGATGATCAACCTTTTAGCCAAGCTCGCTGTTTGGAACTGTGTTAAACTACATCATCAGTCTCAAGTGGAGTGTGTGAACCCTCAGAGACAAATGGGATGATTTCCCTGTCATAGAAAGAAGGTATGGGAGTCTGGTCAGGGTTTTATCTTTAAAACTAAGCTTTATGTTTTACTTATTGTTACAAAATGATGAGAGCATGCATGTAGGCTGCAAATTAAAATCTTCCGAAGGTAAATCTCAAATGACTCTGGAAACTTTTTTCCTCCTTTAAAAAAGTATATGTATGGATCTGTGGGAGGGGAAGAAATGATCTCAAGAATCTCTTATTGTCACAGTATAAGCTCAAAAAATTGGTCTCAGAGTCCAACACCTCATGAGGAACCAGCCCTGCTGATATTTCAGCAGCACAACCACAAGATACCAGAAGTGGTGTGAACCATCTGCTCACTCACCATGGGAACTAGAGGTGGTGTGAACTGATCTGCTTGCTCACCATGGGACCTAGAGGTGGTGTGAACCAATCTGCTTGCTCACCACATGACCCAGTTTAACCCCAGTGTTTCCACTTCCAGACTCCTTTGCCCTGAATGGTTTCTCTCTCTCTCTCTCTCTCTCTCTCTCTCTCTCTCTCTCTCTCTCTCTCTCTCTCTCTCTCTCTCTCTGGTTTTGAGACTTCAATGTGACTGAAAACCACCTAGGAAGCTTTAAGTTGTAGATTTCTGAGGCTAATCCAAATATCCAGAAGTGGGGCCAGGGAACCTGCATATTTAATCAATCTCACTACAGATGCAGAGAGTCACAAGACCCACACGGGAAGACAGACTTCTCTAAATCATGGCGGTATTTCACTCCCAGAAGCTGGCATCTAAATGTGGACCAGGGGAATATTCTGATTTACAAGAAGGGCAGATTTTTACTGGCAAATGAATTTGCATCCAGTTACTTTATATGCTGTTTGCTGCTAACGGATTGTAGGCAGATGCACTCAAGCCATATTTCAGCCTGTCCCTGAGATGTCCATGCAGATGAAATACCAAATATGACTTTCAACCCGTAATGGGAGTCATTGTAGAATTAGCTGGATTAGTTTTGGCAAGGCCACACCATCAGACCAAGTTTCAAACTTCCTGACTCAACTGGGCTCCCGCCCTAATCGCTGGGCACAGGGAAATGACAGTGGCAAGGCAAAAAGAACACTTGCTTCCCAGCATGTGGGCACCCAAAACCCAAAATGCCAGGCTCAGCATTTGCATCTTCATGTCCTTGTTTCCTGGAAGAGAAGCGGAGACCAATACCCCACCACAAATACTCTAGTCAACCGCCAACGAGGATCTCAGAAACAGTCACGTCTAAAACATAGCATGTGTCCCCAGTCACAGCCGTGCCCCGCATTCAGAGAGACAGCAACCTTACCAAGCCCTGCCCCCTCTGCAGAAGTACTTGTGGTTTTAACTGTGAACAAGCTTCAGCCTAGAGAAGGCTGCTTATCGAGTCTCATCTGCAAACAGTTATTGCCTGGTTGTTGGCAAACCATGAGGAGAGTGTGTGCGGCAGGGTAAGGGGTACCCCCTCTCCCATCTGCCCCATGTTTAGTCCATCAATAAGCAGGTATTGGTGGATCCCTGATAGGTTGCTAAGGGAGGAGAGATTGTTAGATACGACATCAATTTTGATGTGTTATGGACTTCTGGTTGTTTGCCCCATGACTCAGTTTACCCTACTGAGATTGGCAGCTCTGAGAAATTCATCAAACTTCTTATTCTTTTGACATGGGGTCTCACTGTGCAGCCCTGGCTGGCCTGGAACTATCTATGTGGACCAGTCTGGCCCTGGACTCACAGAAATCAGCCTGCCTCTGCCTCCTAAGTGCTAGGATTAAAGGCGCACACCACCACTCCCAGCTTCCTCAAATATTTTCTTAAATAAGCAGATAGCAGGCACAACAAGCCTAGAGCATTTGACTGGGTCTTACTTCTGAATGAGTTCTTTGCGTTTCTGAGCCAGGTATTTCTTCTTCAAAGTCACCAGTTCGTTGCCAAGTCTCTCGATCTCGTACTTGTACTCCTGGCTCTGGGACTCGTACATATTCAACTCTGATGACAGAACCTGACGGGCAAGCAAAGCAGCATTAGTGAAGGGTGTACAGGGACATCTGTTTTAACCTGCTAACAGTCATCCCAGGGGCTAAAGGTGCAGACCATTGTCCAGGGTTAATAGTTCAACGGCACACTTCCACAGGCTAGGGCCCGTACGTGGATATGAATCGGGCTGAGGACCACTGACTCGTGATCAAGTGACACGCAGAAATGAAATATCATGCCATACTTGAAAGGAGAGCTGGCAGCAACATTCAAATGGGTCCAGATGAATGGTGTAATGTGTTTCAGGGAATATTATGAGTGGAGACAGAAATACTCCCAGACACACCGTCTAGGATAGCTCTTAGCCCTTTAAAATATATTCAAAAGAAAATACCACTAGGGAGTGAGATTCTGAGGATTATGGTAAGAGCCCTTTTGAAAGCATCTCCCCACCACCACCAACTGGACTTTCAATTTATGTGTTTGACAGGGTGGTTGTTCTGCTAAATGTCTATCATCCTTTTCATTGCATTCTCCGGGACTATTCCCAGGCTCACTCTGTGTCTCAGCAGTGGGACACTTTAGCTCTTAGAAGCAGGGAACATGGGCCTTAATGTTCAATGCAAGAGAGAGGCTGTAATAGGAAGCCCGGCCCCCACCTCTCTCCATGGCTGGATTCAGTGAGTGCTAAGAGGTATGAGCCACACTAGAGCAGGGATGAACTCATCTAAACAGGGCATAAAGTATGGCCATACTCAGGTGTGCTCCCTTCCAGAATCCAGGCAAGAAAAAGCAGCCCATTGTTCTAAGGGGCATGTAGTCATTGTTTTGAAGGTATTCATAAAAGCGAGATGATCATTTTGCCTGTTTATTTGCTTCTGAACTCCTTCCTCTTAATTGTTGTGAATATGATTATGGCCATGTTGGCTGCACTGAAGAACATGATTTTCATGTTGAAAGAAAACCTGTCTCCATGGTTTGGTTCTTGGGAACAAAGACCCTGTTTTGACAATGGCATTGCTCTGTGGGACTTGCTCTGAATAACCCTGGTCCCTCTGCTGCAAGGTGCTGCCTTTTATTCTGAGCCGAAGACAAGGGTTTCCTGAGGTAAAGGACTGCTGTAATATACCACTCCTTGGGGAGCCATTGCGGACTATCCAGAGCCAACTGTGGAGAAGACAAAGGAGGCGTATACTTTTCTAATTTATACTCACCCTGAGAATACAAGAAGAAAAATATTTTGTTGCTTGAAATATTCAATTGTTTCAAGAAACAAAAGTAATCAAAACCGTGTGCCTTTTGCAAAATTCAAATTATGTCTCTGGGTCCTCACATGAAATGAGCTCTCACAGTCATTTGAAAATTAATATTTTAATTAGATTGGCTTCATCTGTCCTTTTTACCTAAAGGACACAACATTATAACATCTTGTTTATGCAAAGATTAAGCCTACATTAATAGGGCGTCACCTATTTTATCCCCAATAGGAGATACAGATTATCACCTTCATGGGGCAGGTAAATGCCAGAAGTTAGCTGAGCTGCACACAGCTCCACAGATGTGTGTGAGCACAAAGCTTCTCTGGTATTCTAAGAGTTGTGATTGCTCGCTCAGGAGATAAAGCTGAAAATACGGTCTGAAGATATACAGTGTTAGAGAAAACTTTCAAGAGGCACACAGAATAGTCAAATACTCCATGTCTCCAACTGAGGCTTTTGTGTCCCTTGGAAGGGAGTTTGGCCAACAAAAATTTTGCACGGTTTTATCTGCCTTTCAAGACTGTTTATGTGATAAGTGGACACAAAGCAAGGCCCCAGGGACCGGCTTGTGCTTCGCAAACATTTATTGTGGGTGGAAAGGAGTAGCAGAAAGCTGCTTTGGTGTAGTGGTGTGCTTCGGGTTGGCAATGGCGTTTAATGTTCTTTTCCACCATCTGGGCTGTCTAAATCGTTCTGTGACCTCCCTCCATTACGCTGTCACCGTCCTTCCTCAGCTCCTTCCTTCATGCTCATTCTCCTCCTTTTGAGATCATTAGAGTCTAAAGAACTCTGAGGAGCGCTGACTTGGGGGGAGCCCGACTCACGGGGCAGCCCAGGAGTCCCCTCGAGGCAGCTGTCCTATCGAGGGAGAGCAGGGCTTGCCGCTTACTTTCAGCTGCTTGGTCCGCTCCCGCAGTGTGTGCCGGTAGATCTGCAGCTGCTCTGCAGCCTCCGGGCCAGGCTGCCGGGCCAAGATGTGCTTCAGTTCCACATACAGCTTCTCCTTTTCCTGGGGAAAGCAGAACCGGGAGCAGAGATTCAACAGTCCGTCCAAACAAGGGAAGGGACTTTCCCCACAGGGCCCGTGGTTCAGGAACCTTCGAAGCCACTTGGCAGTTGTACGCTGATGGCATTCACTCTGAAGCTGTCATACCAGCACCTGTCACAGACCTAGAATGTGCCCAACACTTGGAGTCACGTGACAAGGAGCAAGACAAACAAGATGTCCGTCTCTATCTAGACTTATGATCACAGGGCAGTGTTATAGGGTCTAGTGACTACCAGAGGAGGTGGGGGAAGGCTTGGGAAAACATCATTTGAACGTCCTCTCTAAACATGAGTAGACACTTTCCCCATACAAAGAGAGAAGAGATTATTTTTAGGCCAAAATCCCATGGTAGAACCGGGTGTGGCTTTAAGAGTTCATGTGGTCTCAGAAGGAGTAACCTCACAACAGTAAGTCTGGGGGACAAGTCAGGAAGAAGAGAGAAGAGCCCAGATCCTAGGGAGTCTAAGCTGCATTGGGAAGCACATCTTTGGGTAGTTGGGAGCCAGGAATGAGCATGCCCGGGCTGTCTTCAGAGGGAAAGAGCAGCAGAAAGAGAAACAGACCCGGGGCCTTGGGGCAGACAGAAGACAGAGAAAGCTGAATCTCAGGTACCTTAGGAGAAAGCACAGATAGATAAGAAGATATTACTGGGATGGAATCCGTGGGCTTTGGTGAGTGATCTGACAAGTGTGGCAGGCAGGAACCCAATGACTTTTGAGTCTTTGGTGTCTGCCCCTGCATGGGGGAGGGGAGGGTCATGTGATGGAGGGAGCAGAGCTAGGCTGGAAGAGGAATAGATGTCCCAGGGCTACTAAGCAGACAGGCTGCTCACACTGAGCCTGGACCATGAGGCTGAAAATACAGCCCAGAATTGGGAAGCCAAGGGCAAGCTGGACCAGAGCACCCAGCTCCCTGAGATAACTGGGATACATGGGTAGGCGTGGAACAGAGCAAGAGAGAAAAAACTGAAGGAGAACAACTCAGAGCCCCTCAAAGCCAAACAAAGCAGATGCCTTAGAAATAGAAGAGATTGTGAGTAGTCATCAAATGAGACCAAGAGAAGAAACCAGAGAACCTCGAACAAACCTGAGGCAAACTGAAGTCAGCCACCGGCTGACCTCGCTCGGGCTGGCTGCGGTGACATGGGGAACCAATAGTAACACATGTGGAAGAGAGTACCTCAAGAAACGTGAGGATGTGGGGAGAGAGGAGATAAGGAAGTGGCTCACGGGATGGGTGGAAATCCCAGGAAAATGAGGGCAAGCATATTTACAGGACTAAGAGAAAGGCGTTCCCAGGAAGGAAAACTGCACCAGCTTTTCACAGCTTTATTCAACACTACACAGTACGGAATTCTCATTGGGAGCCTAGAGTTGAATCACTGATGATGTGTTTCCTTAAACTAAAGGTGTTGCACTTGAACATGGTGTGTTGTGGTATCATGTCCCAGTTCCAGATGTTCATGTGCATAGAGTCGGGGAAACGGAACAAGCACTACTAAAGTCTCGTGTGTGCTCATCAGCCGCCGAGCACTGATTTCCTGGAGGTCATTGTGCTAAAGGGAAAACCATGATAAGTACAAGCCCTCATGTTAAATGAAACATCCAGTCAACTGGAAACTGATTCCCACCTAGAGCTATGCAACCTTGCTATTGCTATCCAATGATCTATTTTTACCGGAGCACGCAAAATCCATTTTTAAAATAGTAAAAAAAATCCATTATCATGGCATCGCTACCATTTAGTTAGGTTTTTCCTTTCTGCTGGTCAAATTTGAGAAATTTTATTATAAATATGTAGTCCCATCTACAGACTAGTGTTTGCGGCTTCAAAATTCGGTGGACGGAATTAAGCATCTCAATAAACACATACACCAAACCACCCAAAAGCTGCCTTGTAAGACATTATTCCAGAAACAACAAGGAAACCCTGAAGCCCATATTAAGGAGAAGACAGACAAATAGAATTAGAGAGGGGTGATTTTCCTTTGTCATATAACCCTCCTGTCATACCTTCCAATAGAGTCTTCACAGTAAATAGATACAGCAAGCAAAGAGAACGGCGTCAGGCAGTGAGTTTATTTCCTATAGCCTCTTAACACCTTCTCTGTTGGAAAAATAACACTTCTGACAAGGCTCCAAGATTCAATTTGGAGAGGCTGAGACCTATGTGGAGAAGCCCATGAAACTGTTTTGTTCATTTCTTTCAGCTCACCTCGCTTTCTTCCAGACACACAAAGGGTTGAAAAGTAAAGAACCCCACGATGATGAAGAGGAAGCAATCTGGTTCAGGAGAGAATGATGTCTTGGCTGAAAAGATCTTCTGACTCCGAGGACCATGAACTATTTCCCATGTGTAATGTTTTTCAATTACTCGTGCTCGGCTGGGAGTCAAGAGACAGAGAAGGAAGTTTGGAGGAAGCAAATGCTGTTACTTCACTTCAAAGGAGGAAGTGTCAGAGCCAATGGGGATTAATAATGTCCAAAGTCCCTCCCCAAGCATATAGCTATGCTACCCAGGAGTCACATTCCCTGTGACTCAGGGGGCTTCGAGACACACTATTGCATGGAGAGGGCAGGGAATTGGGGTCAAACTAGGCTACAAAATTCCAGAAGACTTCTCAATAACTTCAATAAAAGAATCAATCAAGCCAGAAGGTAAATCAGGTTCAAAGCCATCACAAAATAAATGTCTAGGGAAAAGATGACTCAATCACTCGGTCTCCTCTCCCGCACTGTCTGAGTGGGTCCTGCCTTTGTTCCCATCTTTTGATGCAGAGTGAACGACACCGATTTCCACCACATCTGGCTTTGTTTCTCAGAGTTATAAAATGAGTCATAATGGATTTGTCCTAAAGAATGGCTGAGCAGGAGCTAGAGAGATGGATCAATGCTTAAGAGCACTTCTGGCAGAGGACTCAGCTTCTGCACTCACGTGCCTGCTTATAACCAATCAGTCTCAGGGAGTCCAGCGCCCTCTTCTGGACTCTACCGGCATCAGCCATACTTGCACAGGGCACCTACACACACACACACACACACACACACACACACACACACACACAGGCCAAACATTCATACACATAGTGTGAAAATAAATCTTAAAAAAGAAAGAAAATGGAAAAGAAAACGAATAGGAACCAAACAACTGAACAGCGAGGGGCCCAGAGGTGTGGAGAGAAGTGAGGGAACTTCCAGTAAAACCTACGATTCAAAACTGGAGTTCTGAGAATTAAATCACCCAAGAGAAGTGATACATATGTGTGTTTGCGGAGGGCAGAAGAAACGCCAAAAGAAACTCAGGTGTGGACACAGAGGGAAGCAGAAAGCGTGTGACCATGGTGGGTAGTGGTACAGGGGTACTGACTATCGGGTTTCAGTTTATGTGGATTTGGGTCTATACTTACAGAGGAAAACCTGACTGGTGAAACTAGTGATGTCTGATCATCATTAACAGTCTAGCCATGTGTATCATACAAATTTGTATTTGGGGAGAATGTGCTGGTAATTTAGATAGATATGGGAAGTTTGATGGATTGACAGTCTTAAGCACGATTGTCTTCCAATTTATTTCTCTCCTAACCCTCTACAAGGTCCAACCAAGCTCTTCAAACATTGTGCAATGGTGTGTATAATAACCCCATTTAGAGACAAAGCATGCAATTCTATTATAAAGAAAATCTATCTTATGCAACAGAGACTCATTAGCTGTCCGATGTGTATTGTCTCCAGAAGCCAGCGGTAGCAGAACCCAGCTGTCTCATAATACATAGCCTGTCCCTCTTCATTAAGCCACATCCATTTCTCTTTAAACCCAGTCAATTAATTTGTCACTTGGTTAGCAGCTCCGTATGTCAATGAAACATCATAAGAAAAATCATAAATACTTTATTTCCTCTCCAACAAATGGTTGCGTCTGTAGGTTTTCGTTTCTTATTTATTCAGAGTTTTTATAGTGTGCATCAACATTACTTGGCAGCGTGCTTTAGTCTTTAAGTTATTTTATGAACAGCCATACTGGAATAAAGCTAGACTATTCATACTAAAAGACTAGCTTCCTCTTTGACTGAGCTAATCTTGAGACTAACCACACTATGGCCATGCTAGAACTGATAGTCCACCCCTTCTGTGGGAGAGATCGTTGGGCATGATAATAAAATATCGGGCTGCCAGAGGCTCCACCAAGTTACAGTGGATAACTGCACAGTGTATCGTCTAGATTTGCTAGGTGCACTGTTAAGAAATAATAAAGGCCAGGAAGACAGCTCAGCAATTCCCAGAGTGGGTGGGGCAGCCCATCTGTAATTTTAGCACTGGGAAAGCGGACACAGGAAATCCTGCATGCGATGGCTCGCTAGACTGTCATCAGGGAGTGCTGGGTTCAACTGATAGACTCTGCCTCAATGAACGGAGTGGAGAGTGATCTAGGAAGACCCCCAACTTCGGCCTAGGCACTTCACAGGTGTGTCCATATACGTCCACATATGCTGTACACACGTGTGCACCCACATACATTCAAACATGCACACACACAAGAATACACAGTACATAGATACACATGAAGAAGAAAAGGATTGAAAAAAATTAACTGCACTACTAACTTCAAACAATGCTGTCATCACTTGGTGGCAGTCCACAACCTCCGCTGCCGACTCCAGACAAGCACTCACTCAGACCTCAGGTGTGTGTAGTTTACCTGACAGTGAGTTAAAAATCTGCATTGGGAACAGTGTGTGCTAATGAGAGTGAGTGCTGTAGGAGCGACAATTTGGAGGAAAAGGTCGAGTTGCTCATGGCACTCCTTTACCTCCCCAGTCGTGGTTTTTTGATCACTGTTTATAGTCTCTGTCTTTTGCTTTGCATCTTTGGCTGGAAACAGAAGGTAGTTCACATTCAACACGCGCCTCAGTGCCTCTTCTTCCTCGGCTCGCCTACTCGAAGCAGTAACCGACTGAGAGGAAC